GGTTCTCCTCAAAAAAACATGGAGCGTATTTCCTGGGAGGGTTAGGCTCCGGCAGGACGCTGCGGGAAATGCTGCTGGGGCCGGCGCTGGGTTTTGCCGTGGGTGTGGAGGTGTTTGGTCCCGGTGCAGTGCTGTCCTGGCTCTGCAGCACCTGCCCCGCGTGCAGGTGCAGTGGCTGGCCCTTGAGCTTGTCCCTGTCGCTGTATGAGGACAGCGAGCGTGGACAGAGTGAGCCCTTCGGGGGTGATGATGCACATCCATCCCCTTCCTGCATCACTCGCTGTCTGCAGCACGTTCGGTCTGTCTGAGCTTTGGGACCGTCCAGAGGAGTTTGAATGGGTTGTGCTCCAGTAAAGGGAGTAGTTAGGAAATTGAGGAAGCCTCTTTCTGATGTGGCTAATGAGTTGGCAGGAAACAAATTGGGTTTATTACGATCCACGTGGAGAATACAGTGTTATGGAGCATTAAAAGTTACTTTACTGGTCCTGGCAAAAGTTGCAGTGACTACTGCTTGATCTGAAAAGGTTGGGGTAAGGTCTTTATTATCTGGACTCAAAGAGAACAGTCGTACAATATTCAGTTATTTAGAGAAGGTGCATTAGTACAGGGCAAGTGTAGCACTGGCAAAGTCCCTGTAAACTCTGCTTGGCTAGTTCATCCTAAGAAGCAACAACACTGTAAGAATGAAATACCTCAAAAAAACCACTTTTTGATTATTTGTCTTCTTGTTGTAAGGAATAGCCTGTAGTGGTGAGTGCCCTGCAAAAACTTACGTGTTGATTTTTTCAGTATATGCAGGTAGTATAAAGAATTACCCTTTGGTTTACTTCTTAGTAGTTGTGGATTCCTTTTCCCCCTGTGTGATAAAAGCTGTGTGATCACATGCCTCAATACAGTTATGGTCTTCCAGTCACTTTGCAGTTAGAGCCCTCCTGGAATAGTCTTTGGTTAAGATTGTTGTAAATCTGTACAATTTGCCTTTTATCTAGTCTTGAGCAAGATGTGTGAGAAGTCTTCTCCCTACATGAATTTGAAATTCACCCAAGCTGGGGTACATTTCTCTTCAGAGAGTGTGTGTCCACTCATCTTGTTCTTATATAAGCATTACCATAATAGATCTGAGGCTGTCTCTTATTTGAACCATGGAATCTCTCCTCCTGCCTGGAGCTTGTTGGGATGCCAGGGATAAGTACTTTCTAACTTGTACTAAACTTTGTCGACTCTGTATTTGTCACTGCCATTTCAGTACAATCACCTGAGTGGCTGTAGTGCACAGTGGCACTGAGTGACTGCAGTCCTGAGGCTCTTGCAGGTGGAAAAAGACTTTTTTAGCAGATAAGAAACTTCTAAGAATTGAAAACATTGCACAATAGGACTGCAAGGAAAGCCCTTGTAGAATCTGACACACAGGTGTGCACACCACCAATCTCATAGTTTCATTTTGCAAATTAACTTTATCAGAATTTTTTTTGCGATTTTTAATGTATTCACATTGTGTGTCATAAGTGATATAATTACAATTAATTTTATCTGAAATCCAGAAAACTTTTTTGGGCTGAACTCCGAATTTAAATTCTTCTGGAAGCCTGTGTTGAATTTCAGAAGTTTGGCTAACAAGGCTATGCTTTTTTATTAATATTATTTTTCTTCCATTTGTATTTTGGTGTAAGTGACCAATTTTCTGATAGATTTTAACATTTCAAGTTATGTGACTTTGTTAATGGTAAAACTGTAAATTATTTTCTTGTAACTTCTTGCTGTCTCTACAGCAGTGCTTTCCCTAGACAAGAAGAAACTGTTTTGGTTTGTTGCTCAGCCTGTGGCTTTTTTCTTTTGTTACTGTGCTACTTACCAGAACATCCTGGTCACTTAACAGAAAACTCATGACAGCAGACCTGAATGCAAGTCTTGCTGCATGTCAGGGGAATAATGAAGATGAAAAGAGCAAATATCTATGAGCAGAAGCCTTGTGGTGACACAGTGCCATTTTCATTCAAGCTGAACAGTTATGAAGTGGCTGCTTTCTTTTTTGGTATCTTAAAACTTTTCTTAGCCTGGGGAATAAACACAATATTCATTTGGCTGAAGAATACTCTTATTGTTTGAGATTCATGCACTCTTGAGAATAGTTTTTGGGGTTTGATGGTAAAACTTTCTTTTAGGTATTTTAACAGTAATGTAGTTGGAAAAATGAAGTGAATGTCTCATGAAATAAGTAGTGAGCTATACCCGAGTTGCTTTGCACACTCAGTAGTTTATGTAGACTGTTTAAAATTGTCCCTTTCTAACCTTAGTCGTAGAGCCTACAGAAATGCAAAATCAAGGTGTATGAAGCAACATTCTCCCTTTTGAATTTGTAGTTAACATTCACTCTTATCACAGCTGGAGAATGGCTCCTTATCCTTTCCTCAGGTGACTCCAAGGTGTGACATGCTGCCTATAAAGTCGTAAATAGTTTACAGTTCAAAGTGCTTAAAAAAAATACTAACAGATTGGTTGCAGACAGGGAAGTAACCACAAAAGAAACCTACTGCAGGCTAACCTTAGTGAATTGGATTAGCACAGTTTGAAGGCAGTGAGTGATAAAAGTCCAAGCAGGGGCTGGGTCAGCATGTCAGAGTTTTTGAGGGGCTGAAGGAGGCAGGAGGTGTTGGGGTGCTGAGTGGACACATGGGAGGAAGAAGCTGTGGCTGGTGCCCCCTTAGAGCTTGGAAGGACATTGGATGTCTTGTAACTCACCTGGTCACAGTCTCAGCTGCCTGTGGTTCCAGGGGAAGGGCTGAGTGCAGAAACTTAATGCAGCTTTTAAACCTCCTCAAAAAGTGTGTTGTCCTGTGGCTCAGGAAGTATTCAAATACTCATCCACTAGTTATTTCTGGAAACAGTTCAAGACCATGAAAAAAGCATTCTTTTTTATTACTGATTGGATTCTGTACACACTTGATGTCATTTGCAGACAACACTACATTGATATGTGCCTTTATTATGGCATGTGGTTAAAGTGTGTTCAGAAACCTTTCTTAAGTAAACGGTTCATTGCTGCAACTCTGCCACACCTGTTTTTCTTCCTGTTTAAAATAAGCAGATAGGCTCCTGCTTCCCACATCCATGCCCTTACTAATGTGAGCAGAGGAGGAGCACATAGAAAATTCAGCATGCAGCAGTAAAAGGTGGGGTTTTTTTCTCTTCCCGTAGTTCAGAGGAGAAAATAGTTGCTGCATATCCACTTAGCAGTTGGAAAAAATCAGAAGGGATTCATTTTCCAGTGAAGCCCACATCAGAATTCAAGGGCTTTCTGGGTCTCACAGCATTTTATGGAGCTTAGTGTATCTTTTTAGGAGTTTCAAACCTGTATTTTATGTATTTATTGTGCCAGCTTATTGGCAGAAGGGTTTCATGTATGTGTAATTATTAGTGAGACAGGATGAGTCACAGGTAGCATGTGCTGGTTTTAACATCTGATGTAATTTCAGCAGGTGAATTTTGTTAGTAGCAAACACAGACAGCTCTGAGCCCTTTTTGTAATGCCTCTACATCTTGTGTCCTCATCTACAGCAGATTTGTTGGAATATTTGCATGTGATGCTAAGGAAGGTTCAAACTGCCTTCCAGACATCGATCATGTTTCATGGCATGAATTAAATTAGGTGAGATAGTCACAATCAGTAAATTAGTTTGGTCATTTACTCCCTTGAGGGCTGCCAGGAGCACAATTGATATGGTGGGGTTTTTTCCCCAAACTTTTCATAGTTTCTTTGATGTGGTGCAACTCTGGAAACCACAGAAAATGTGTGGAAATATTGCCAAAGATCATATTTAGGTTTTTCTTTTGTATATATTGTATTCTGAGTATTGAGTGCTTGCAGTGTGTACTGGGTTTTTGGGCTCTGTGATGAGGTCTTGAGCTCTTTGTATTTGTACTGCTTTTTCACTCAGTGCTCTTAGTAAGTTGTGGCCCTCATGGCCAATGGAAGTCAGAAGTGTTGCTGAATGCTGGGAGTTCTGATGGGACAATATTGTGCCATTCTTTGGTTCTGCCCCCAAACACTTGGAACTGTGCACTTGTAAAGCCATGGAATGGAGAGCCCTCACTCTTGGTTTGATCACTGTGCCCATGCCTGGCTACTGATCCTTGCATACTTCAAAATATTTTGGTAAAAGTAGTCTTTGGGCATATGGTAGCTCTCAATTTTTTTTTTCATTTCTTGATTAGTCGTCCAGGCGAAAATAATGGAAAATCTTCACGGAAATGAATCCCATTACCTTCTGTGATTAAACTTGCCTTTGTGTCTGCCTGAGTGAATGCATTTGCCTGTGTTGATGTGTGCTACAGTTTCCTGTGTTCCCAGCAGGATTGGAGAGTGTGTGCAGGCCTTTAGGAACACTGCTGCTCAAATATTGTAGCAGACAGGCTATTATGTCCCTGCAGTGGGGATAGTGTAAGTTTAGATATTAAACTTGTTTGGGATTTTTTTCTTTAAACTCCTCCTGGCACCTCCAACCTTGGCAGCAGCCTACAGGGGTAACTACCAGAGTCTTTGGCACTGGGTCCAGTGGCTTGGTGTTAAATTTATGGAGGCTTTGCTTACAGTAATTTGGGAAGTAGAGGCAGAGAGAAGAGACTAACAGGGTCTTTTGCTGTCTGATGTGATGGGTCTTAGCACTGGTGTTGCCTTCTACCTTCATGTTGGGGTCTATTTATTCTTCACGTACAGTTTAATGTTGGTCACTCTAGGGAAATCTCTGCCAAATGACACTTTTGACATTCTCTGGAAGCTTCTAGATGGCACCCAATCCTTAAATGGATAAATGTTCCTGTCAGTGTCACAAGCTTCTGTCAGGCCTTTGGGGTTAGAGTTCATAAAAGAGACTTCTTAAAAGCAAAAGCAGTTCTTGGGGAAATGCTGCTTTCTCATCTGTGAGTGTGTTGCTGGTTCGGGGGAAATCAGCTCAATGATTTTTAAACTCTGCCATCCAGTCAAGTATCTGTTGTTACCTGGTTTCAGCAGTGAGATCAGGGGTTTTGGCCTGGAGTTCTGCAGCTGCTGGAAGATAAACCTTGGCTGCAGTAGTGGGGTTGTTTGTGGCAGGGGTTGTTGCTTTGGGCTTGGTTTCCTCTGTTCCAGCAGAAAGGCTAGTGGTATTTTGGTGGTTTGCTCTTTTGTTTAATAAGAGTCTGAACATCAGCTGACTGTCGAGTCAGCTCAGCTGAGGACATGGTAATGGATTTTTTTGGTGCAGAAGTGTGAGTTCTCAAGTGAAGTAAGAGGATAATTTCTGCATTATATTTGCCACTGAAAGACTTGTGGTTGTCTTTGGGGTATCAATTTGGTCTCCATACTCAGATTAGGGTGTCCCTCAGCAGGTTTTTGATTTTTGGTTTGGGTTTTTTATGACTTTGGATAGGACTCAATGTGAATTTTTACACAGGGTGGTATAGTTGAAGTCTTATTGTTGGTGTAGAATGGTTATGAAAAAGGAAAAATCATTTAGTTGGGCTGTACTTTATAGTAGCACATACTTTATGTTTTATCTAAAGCATTATAATGAGCACTTACTTGAACACTTATTGTCGGGAAAAAAACCCTGACTTTCCTTGTGGAGAAGAAGGTTGGATCTATCAATAATAAAACCGGCATCACAGTTGAGTTTTCTTTGGTTTATTTTAGGTTAGTAGTATTTTCTTATTTTGTGTTCAGGATATTCAACATATTTTTACATGAGTACATACAGGTTGATTAAAGGAACCTGGACAGTGCAGAAATTTGTGTTGAGGCTGTTGTGAGGACAGCAGTGAGAGAAATGTCTTCAGATCTTTTCTTAAAAGTTGTTATCTTTTTCCTGAAAGATGGTTGACCCTACTCTGGCAGAAATGGGGAAGAATCTGAATGAAGCCATGAAGATGCTGGAGGACAATCAGAGGTGTGTGCAAAGGGTAACAATACAAAAACATCACCTGTTTGTGCTAAGGGCGGGATTATTAATGCCACTGACATTAAGATGAAAAAAACCTCATTTTCCAAGTGGTTTAAGGTCATTTTGTCAGTCTGAAGCTTAGACCTACACAAATCACCTTTGTTACTCGAATAATGAGATTTTAAAAATAAATGTACATATTTTTATGCATGTTCTATAATGTTCAGAACAAGTCCATCAAGTCTGTTTTTTTAGAAATGTTGGGTTTTTTATTATTATAGTGCAAGTAACTTAATTACTGTATGTATGAGAATTTTCTTTAAGCTTTCTGTTAAAGAACTAAAAAAGCTCCAGAAAACCTGGACACTTTAATTCAATCCGAGCTAAACTTGTTTTGGGCTCATCTGACTTACCTATGAACCTGTTTTCAGTGAAATAGATTGCAGACGTGTCAGTGTGTATTTCTGCAAGTCAAAGTCAATTATGTGTTTGATGTTATAAAGCACAAACTAAATACATAGTTTATTATTGTGTCTTTAACTTAGAAAAGTGGAGGAGGAAAATGAAAAGAAGTATGCACGGAAGGATATTCCTGGACCACTCCAAGGCAGGTAGGCAGCAACAATTTTACAGATCTTGACAAGAGCATTAGCTAAAAAAACATGTAGCATGTTTGTCTTCAAGGAACTTCTGTATTAATGCAAACACTAACGTTTTCCAGGCATTATGGTAAACTTTTTCCCATACTCACATAGGGGGAAAAAGTATTATCATCATACCAACTATTTCCATACTCATGTAGAAGAAGGGAAAAAGGTTACTTGTCCTTGGTGACTGAAATTTTGAACTCTTGGAATCTGATGAAGTATTGATGCCTACAGCTGTGAGTGAGACTTAAACACAAACAAACTTGTGCTCTAGAATTAAAGCACCCAGATTGAAAAAATAGCTGAGACTGATAAGGGAGAAACCCTAAAACAGAAAACACACACAAAACAACCTAACCCCACCTTTGCAGCACAGCTTTCTTCATATTAAGCAGAGCTCTTGTGAATAGGGCAGGTAAGACCACTGTACCTGAAAACTGAGATTTAAACTTTGGAAGGTGATTCTGCAGGAACCCAGACTAGCACTTCAGAAAGTACTGCAAAGGCTATGTAAGTCTTTAGTGTACAGAAGCAAAACCTGGTTTTGAGTGGAGACACTGAAGTATCTTTTTTAAGAATAAAAAGCAATTTCAGCTGTTGGTGTAAATTCTTACAGTACTGTGAATTTTAGTTGGAATGATAAAAGTCAAAGTGTTGTGGATCTTTTCGAGTTTTACCACGTTGGAGTGCATCATGTCAGAAATCTAATGTAGCTTGTGTTGGCCAAAAACTAATACTTGTTGGTAATTGTTTAAGAGCTGTGCTGAGTTATTAGCTGAAGCTGGTTCATGTGAAGTGAAATGTGGATCCTTAGCTATTGCCTAACTTGCTGTGTAGCAGTAAGAATTCAGTATTGTCAAATTAAACTTTTCAGTCCAGATTTTCAGATACGAGTAGATTTGTTTTCTGAGAGTCTTGAGTTCACACCTATTGAAGTGACTTACTGTAGTGAAGTAAGGTTTTGAATTGCTTGACTCAGCTTCATCTTTGTGATCTGTCTTTGTGAGAGCAAGGAACCATTTTAGCTGCTGTACTCAGCATTCTGTGAAGTGTTGTCTTCACATCTTACCATGCAGTGTCCCAGATTGCCTCTTTCAGATGCTGGTACTTAACTCTTTTTGGTTTTTGAAATGTGTTTGTGTTCTCCCCTCCCAGTGGCCAGGATATGGTGAGCATACTTCAGTTAGTTCAGAACCTAATGCATGGGGAGGAGGAAGAGGAAGCCTCACAGACTTACAGGTAAGGGCACTGTCAGTTACTGTGTGTGAAAGATACCTGACTTTGTTATATTCTGATTATTATGGAATTTACACATTTAAGTTCCATATATGTGTAAGTATACATAATTTCTATATATAAGTACATCTCTTAGGTATTTTAAGGTGTAAAATACTGTGCAACCAGGTAATGTTTTAAAGGCACCTTATGTTATACAGTGCAGCAGAATAATGCATTAGGCTTGGCTTTCTTAAAATTATAAAGCTTTCATTACTAATCACTAAACTGAATTATTCAAGGGAATTGTTTCTGATGTGACAGCTCTTTTTTTTTTTTTTTTCTGCTTTCTGGAAGTTGTTTTAAGTCTGAGAGTCTTAAGGCTTTGAATACCAACAAATGTTTTTACCATGTATCTCTGTAGATTTTAAAACAAAAGGAAATAAAATTTGTTTCCATTTTTCTGTAAAGTGGAAATAATACTAACTAATCTGCAGATGATTATTGCAAACTGTCATTTGAAGAATGTTTTGGATGTTCTGAACTGAAACCCACAAAAAAAAAAGCCAACAAACAGAAAAACCCCAACAAACAAATAAAAGCTGTGCCCCTAAAAATATTAATAACAAGTCTTCTGAGTTTTCTCTGTGTGAGGAGAGAAGAGTGTGTTCAATGCACAGCAGAGTCCCAGTGCAGATAAGGTGCTTAGTTCCAGCTCTTGTTGGCTGTTTGGTGCAAAAGCAGCTGAGGTTACTGTGAGCCCTGGGCCACGTGGAGTGCAAGTGCTTTTGTCTGCACTGGCAGTTCAGTGTGTAATACACCAAGGCAGGAAGGTGACTGTGATATACTGTACTCTGATGGATATATAAAATTGCATGTCAAAAAATTCTGCCACTCTACAGACTTGTAAACCTAAGTGTACTGTAATGGCCATGACTTGTACTGAGTTGGCACTTGCTCTGTCCTGACTTGCAGACTGCAAAACGTTGGTGAACAGGGTCACATGGCTCTACTGGGACATAGTTTGGCTGCTTATATATCAGTGCTGGACAGGGAAAGACTGAGAAAACTTACAACAAGGATCCTTTCTGACACTACTCTCTGGCTCTGCAGGCTTTTCAGGTGAGTCCCTGGGAACAACTTAGGTGTGAGGAGGTAGTGATAATGGTTTAAAACTATGTGTGACTGGGCTGAAGATGTCAACAAAATAAACCACTGTGCCACAAACTTACAAATATTTGAAAGGTCTGAAACACAACCTTAACTTAGTCTAAAGAATGTCAGGTTGCATCCTCTTTAAAATAAGCAGCCCAGCTTGTGCATACATATATTAAAACCAGAGTGAAACCTTTGTGTGTTTCCTCCCATACTGCACTCTTAGTAAGCAAGGTTTTGAGCTCTGTAAAGGTAATCTTTAGGGACTCAAAATGTTTTTCCTTTCCTACTTTATCTCTGAGTCTAAATGAAAATAAATACTAGGCTTCCCTCATTGTTAATCTCAGCCTGTTTTCTCCTAATCTACTTTAACCTGGGGAAATAGAAGGGTTTTTATCTCTCTCTGTCCTTTGAGCTTCTTTGCTGGTCAGTGTTATTTTAGCCACTAAATTGGCTATTGGTTTTGTTGGTCCTATTTTCTTGGCTTTTCTTACAGGTATGAAAATGGATCAGCATATTACCATGAAGATGATCGTGAAGGTCTCCTAAAAATCTGTCGCTTGGTCATTCACACACGCTATGAAGATTATACAATGGAAGGATTTAATGTGCTCTATACTAAGCAGCCTGTCATATACATTAGCTCTGCAGCTAGAGCAGGCTTGGGCCAAGCTCTCTGCAATCAGGTAAAGTGAATCAGTTGAGAATTTAGCTGCAAGTAGAACCTACCTGTCTTCATATTGCCTACTTGAAATTTCGATTTTAAAAAGATAGTCAGACTTTTCCTGCAAGGAGCTGGCACTTCCAGTACAGCCTGGTACACTACTGGCAGCAGTGGTTGAGGCTAGTGAATGTTTCCTTTGAGATCCATGTGTCTGCCTGGAGCTTCCACTGTTCAAAGTGAAGCTTCGTTGAGATTTCTCATGAAGCAGGATGAAAAGTGGCATTTTTCAGAATGAGGGTTGAGCTTCAGCCTCAGAAGAGCTGATTTGAGGAAAAGCATAACTAGTGGTTTTTGACAACTTGTTTTTCCTTATGGTAGAATCAAGAGCACTGTGACTTACATAGCAGCACAACAGGGGCTGGGAGGAGAAGGGAGTCGGAGATGAAACCACACTTTGAGGCCAGATATCTGCGAGCTCATGATACAGAAATACAGTACAGTATGTTGGTGTTGCTTTATGAATTGTGATTGGCAACATAATTATAAGGCAGAGGAAGCAAAGTCCATACTGGGCAGAACAGCTGTAGTGGACCATATGTTTAAAATAGAACCATTTGTCTGGGGAAAATACTTCCAGGTTCCATCTACAGCCTGTGTTTTGCAGCAGTGATGCAGTGGGAGGAAGAGAAATACTCTGAATGTTTCCAGTGAAAGGATCCTACTTATTCTAAAATGAGGGATTGTTCCTAGACTGCACTGTGCTTTACATGGGTCATGGTGAAATAGGTCTGAACTCTGACACAGTGGCTTTCCAAACACTGAGTTAGTGCAAAATTTGCACTGAATGATGCCCCTGTACTGCTGTGTTCAATCCACATTGATATTCTGGTAAAATGAAATCTGTTGAGGGGGAAGCAGGCTGTGCTGAGCCTGTTCCAAAAGACCTTGTTTGCACCAGCAAGATTACCCCCACAGTCCAGTCCTTTAAAGAAACCCATTTTTTCCCTTTTAAACTTACTGCTTTTGTTAAGTATTTATTTGCATGAATGTTTGCAGACTTGAATGATCTGTTTGAGCCATGTACAGACTTCCCTATGGCCTATCTAACATTTGGTGCACTAGTAGTATTTTTCAAGCTAATTGGAGAGTCAAGTTCTTGGGGTCTTTATTTTTTAAACCTTTGGAGAAAGTAGGCAGAGGTACTACTAAAAGATTAAAAATGTAGACTGCAGAGAAATAAAAACGGTATCATAGATGGAAGTTGTCTCGACCAAAAGAATTTGAAGTAGGTGGTGAAAGTTCATTGGAGTAACTTGGTGTTCTTGGTAAGCCAAATGTTGAGTTTAGCTACTGACTGAAACTTTTTGATGCAAGAGATAGTGCAAAGGATTAGCAGTTTGGGAGCCTTTTGCTTCTGAATTCAGAGTAGCTGTCTGTGCTTCTCCAACTTCTGCTGTGCTATTTCTCTGCTATTAGTTTGATGTAAGTTTTAGCAGGAAACTTACTTTATAATGTAATATCCAGGTTTCTGTTGTCATATTTGTTATTTTTTGTGTCACTATATATTTCTGTGAGCACATGAAATGAGTATTTCTCAGGTGTTGAAACTCCCATCATTTTTTCTTGCAGCTAGGGTTGCCCCTTTCCTGCATGTGCCGAGTGCCTTGTAACACTATGTTTGGATCTCAGCACCAAATGGTAAGCTTAAGAGCTTAAAGAGCTCTTTTGTTTCTCTGTTTATTTTTTTAAAGCCTCATTAGATGAATGTCAAGTATGTTGTTAGGAAAAGCTTATTAATGTATTTACTTTTTCAACCTCTAAGTCTTCTGTGTTACAGCTCTCCAAATCATAGGTGGAAATCTTCTAAAAGCACTTTGTGTCTTGGCCTTGTCATTTGCAAAATATTTTTAATGGCATTTAAGTAAGGTGCTTTTTAGTGCAAGATTTCTAGAATATGAGTAGTCAGAGGTGTGTTCACAAACTATGTTTGTGTTGCATTTTTGACAAGTGCTTTGTTTGACCTTCAGGTTATTTTGCCTTTGAGAAGAAGAAACTGCAGTCCACAAAGACATTGAGAATGTCTTTCAGAACTTGAGAATGTTGTCCATTTTCACTCTCAATGCATTTTTCCAATTCAGCTGGAACAGTCCAATGCTGTTTGACAAACATACTGTTTTCTTATTGATGACAGGACGTTGCTTTGTTGGACAGAGTGATTAAAGATGATGTTGAGTCTGGAAAACTGCCTTTGTTGCTTGTGGCCAATGCTGGTAAGTGGTAGGGACAAACAGTAACAAAACCTGCTATTTCACAAATACATATATCACAAAAAATTAAAAATATAGTTTCTTAAACAGCTTAGTGGTTACATATCAAGAAATACCAGGGAATATCTCAGTGATCACACAATAATTATCTGTCTGGGGTGGGTTATATAACTGAGTTGGATCCTGCTGTACAGTTCTGCTTATGTCAGTTGGTGTATTAATATGACTACAACTTATTTTGCTGAGTGCAAATCTCTTGTAGAAAACCATTTCACATTAACACTTCAGAATTTCTGATGGATGTGCCATCCACTTTGGCTTGAAAACTTGTATTTCTCTTCTAGTTAATTAAACACAACTGCTCATGAACAAAACTTGCTTTAAGTACAAATCATGGAGGTGACTGTTACTTACTTTGCACTTGGATAAATACCTGAGATGTTCATCAGTGCAAGAGTTGCTTTTTGTAGAGCCCTAGTTTGCATCCTGATCCTTGTCGTGGCCTTTTCCTTGCCCCCCCCAGGGACACCAGGCGCTGGGCACACGGACAAACTGGGCCGGCTGAAGGAGCTCTGTGAGCAGTACAACATGTGGCTCCATGTAGAAGGGTATGAAACCTGAACTGTATTTCTCTATTCTCTGTATTCATTACCAAGTCTAACTCATGGGCAGCACATAATTTTACAGCTAATCAGAGCCATAGAGCCATTTTCATTTCTGTCATATTAAGCATCTTATGTGGTTATTATTTTGTCAGTGTGAGATAGAAATTGGTTTACATATCCAGGCAGAATTAATTGGAGAGGTTATTTCAGCATAGATTCGTGATTACTTTTATTCAGATGGTAATCTTATCTGACCTTGCTTTGAAGAGCTGGAAATATGAATAAAAAGACCTTCTGGGCCAGGGAGGCCTAAAAAGACCTTCTAAGTCAGGGAGGACATTATACAGTGGTTATTGAGAATGAGAAAGGAGAAGGAAGTGAGTGTGGAAGAGATGATACTTTAATGAAGGTTGTCAAGAAGGCTGCAGCAAGTGCAGTGTGCAGCATAACTGGGAGGGGGATTAAATCAAGAGGAAAAGCAATTCCAAGAACTTAGACAATGTCAGTGAAGACTCCTCTGCTCTAAGATGATTTTGAGCCTGGAGTAGAGAAACTGTTTCTATTAGTATTTCATAGTATAGTGTTATATTTGCATATTATTTATTTCTGATACTAAATTGATGCTAAATTATGTGTAGGACTTTGGGGGATGATTTCCCCAAAGGTTGGGCTGAAACATTTTTAGATCGAAATGGATTTTTACTTTTGAATTTTCAATCTTGGAATACCAAGTAGCAACATCTCCTGCATTGCTGCTGAAAAATACATGAACAAAAATTACCTCTCTTTACACATCAACATGAAATATTTAAAATGCAGGTTAAAATGCTGTCTCTTAATACATATTTAATACATGCTAAACCCACTTGTTTTTCCAGTGTGAATCTGGCAACTTTGGCTCTGGGCTATGTCTCCTCTTCTGTGCTGGTATGTTTCACTGAATCTAGAAACTTAGTCATGTGCTCTAGGTTTTAAGGTTATGATCTAATCAGAATATATATGGCTGTTTATTGTACTAAACTTCAGGCTGCTACGAAGTGTGACAGCATGACTCTGACTCTGGGCTCCTGGCTGGGTCTGCCCGCGGTGCCTGCGGTGACACTCTACCGACACGAGGATCCATCTTTGGTATGCTCAGCTTCTCCCTCCCTGTTCCCAGGATATTGACATTTTCATTTTGATCAGTGTCTTGTTCTTTGAGTATCTAAATTATAATTCACAAAAGCTCCCTGGCTGAAGCTGTGACATACTGCGTAAGCGAAAATGGCAGCCTTGAGGAGAGGCTAACAGTGGTTTGTGTATTATTTCCTCCTCAGTCCCTGGCAGCTGGGCTCACATCCAGCCAGCCTGTGGAGAAGCTCCGTGCCCTGCCACTGTGGCTCTCCTTGCAGTACCTGGGCCACGATGGCATTGTGGAGAGGATAAAACATGCCTCACAACTGGTAAGCAACAGCTTAGGAGTGTTGTAGGATAGCTGCTAATAGATCTGTTTGGTTACTGCAAAGGAAAGAAGAATCAGCTATAAGTACTGTAGAGTTGACAGTCTAGCATGGAGGCTCATCCTGTGTGATGGAAGAGTAAAGTGTTTGGGAGAGGAATGTGCTTTTACTGTTACATTGTAGATGTATTTTTTTAAAGAAGAAATAATCAGTCTGTGTTCTGCCTAAACAGTGAAGTAAAATAATCACTTCCTTCTTTGTCACTTCTCTTTTAACTATTCTTGCTTTAAAGCTGTTCAGAAAGACTTTCTTATTTTCCTACTCTGCTTTGCATCATATTGATTTAAGTAACAGTAAATTACATTTAGTGAAAAAGACTTCAAAACATTTCTCGAGACAGAGTGGCAAGTGCACTCTGTTTGAAGCTGAGCCCTTACCTCAGTAAAATTTAAGGTCCAGTATAATGTGTTACTTACCAAGTGCATTGTTTTTATACAGAACATTTTTCTTACAGGTACAGCACATATACAAAAGTCACAGAATGGCAAAATAGGAATGAGAAGTTGCTGTAGTGCTTAGTGTAAAAGCTCTTGGCATCAAAGATATTAGAGGGACGGAGTGTCATTAAGATTTTGTGGCAGCTAAGATTGATCTTAGCTTCTGTAATAATCTGTTAATAGTGTTAAAGCACAATGTAACAATGTCTTTTCCAATGGAGAAATGTTGGGAAGGAATCCTGACAGTTCTGGTGGCTTTGAGAACATCAACTTCTGCTCCACACTGCTAGAGTTAGTCACTGGGGTTGTAATAGCTGTGGAACTTTGTAAACAAACACACCAAGACTTATTTTAACGCAAATCACTTTGTAGTCAGTGTTTTCCTAAATCCAGAAAAGATTTTTTCCATTGTATTCTAAATTTAGAAATGAAAGCTAGATGAATCTCTGATGTGCTGTAGTGTTTGTTCAAAAATGGACATTGTGGTAGTGAATGTTTAATGTTTTTCAGAATAATTCTCAACTTTTTGTTCCCCTTCTGCTGTGATCTTTTAGAGTCAGAGGCTGCTGGAAAACTTGAAAAACCTGGATTTCATTAAAACTTCGGTACAGTCAACTCTTCATACTTTGGTTTTGTAGCTTAGTGTTTGCCTGGTAAATGATAAGAATAACTTTGACTAAAATAAATTACTTAAAGATATTGCTTAAATCATAACTACAACTCCCTGACAGGAGGTTGGAGTCAGGTGGGGGTTGGTCTCTTCTCCCAGGCAACCAGCAGCAGGACGAGGGCACAGACTCAAGCTCTGCCAGGGGAGGGTTAGGTTGGATATTAGGAAGAGATTTTTTACAGAGAGAATGATCAGACATTGGAATGTGCTGCCCAGGGAGGTGATGGATTCACCATCTCTGGGGTTTTTCAAGATAAGACTGGATGTGGCACTTAGTGCCATGGTCTAGTAACCCCAATAGGGTTGGACTTGCTGATCTTTGAGGTCTTTTCCAACCCTGCTGATTCTGTGTTTCTATGATAACCATTGTTATGAAGATGTTTGATATCTTTCTAATCAAGTTCTGGTGTTCAGTGTAATCTCATGGATTGGCTGTGTATATCTTGGTTCCATTGCTCTGTACTCCTGTGCTCAGGGACGCTGACAGAGCAATGTCCAGGAACTGTGTTCAGAGGTTGATTTAATTCCATTTCAAACAAGGATTTGTTCAGTAATACATCAGTGAAACCAGTTTTCATAAGTCTCTCGAATATATTCTGGCTGCTGTTGAGATGATGCTGTGAAATTGTACACAAAAATTTTCCCAGCTGAACTTTTTACACCAGAAATAGTTTTAGAAATTGCATCTAATGTATTTATTCCAAGTGTAGTTTCTGTGAGATGTGCTGTTCAATGGGGTTTGGTGATTTTACTCTCTACCTCCCCATTTTAAGTGACATTTGAGGTCAAATCTGTTCAGCTGTACAGTTATTAATGGCTTTGGGAGTTCAAGTTACTGTATCACTTTCTCTTCTACTTAAATAAATCCTGCATTTTTAGGATTGTGAAATGCAGCCTCAGGTTGCCTCCAGAAGTTGCCCAGTCCATTTCTCCAGTCCCCAAAGCAGGATCAGTTATAATCTTATCCCTGCTGGAACTTTCTTCATGTTTCCCAGTGATTCTGGGGTGATTTCCATGAAAATGTGTTTAATGTTAATATCTGAAAACACTCAAAACTAACCAGACTCTTTAATACAATGTATTTGCTAATCACCATGTTTAGAATTTTATGCCTTATAGTGCCCAGATTTTAATGATGCATCCCTTCAGTCAGTACAGTTCTGCATTGAACTGAGTGATTAACTTTCCTATCTTTAATTATGTTTGCTTACACTCCTTGAGTGAACTTCTAATACTGACATGGTGTGAACATTGTTACTGCTTCAAAACCAGATGCTTTGCTCACCAATCTGAGGAATTACAGTGTTAAATCTTTGAGAAATATGGGAAATTATATCTTTTTTTTTTTTTAAGGTTGAAGATGAACTCAGTTCACCTGTGGTGGTTTTCAAGTTTTTCCAGGAATATTCAAATAGAGGTATGGGATTCATTTGAAAACAACCAAAACCTCCTTTCTTTACAGGATTTTAAAGTATTCATCACATGAATTTGGGGTGAATATTCCATAGTGCACTTCTCTTGTGTAACCTTTTAAAAGGTTGTGCATGCTGGTCATAATCCAGTGACAGAATCCATGCACGTGACAGCTGCTTTTTTTAGACACACTGCAGCCTTTTAAATTTTCATAACGAGTAATTTTCTGCCTTCATGAGTGAGGAGAGATTTGCATGTGATTTTGATCTTGAGAGCAGCTGATGCAAGTCTCTCACAAGCTGCACGCTGTGTTTGAATGTACTGGTGGGGGAAGATCTTGGTTTGTTCAGGTTTTCTGTTCCTTCCAATCATTTTCTCTGCTTTACTGATTACACTTGCTGTTGGAAAAATCTTAAAACCAGCAGAACACATTAGGAGCAGCTCTGGAAGTGCTGTCACAGGTGTGCAGGAGCCACATGTGGCTCTGAGCAGCACATCCATAGTGAGATGTGCTCACTGAAACACAGCACTTTGTCCCCTCCGCCACAGCACAGGATGTTGCTGTGCTGTTTGTGTGTGTGTGCTCTGAGGGTGAGAACGTGTCCTGCTGGGATGAGGCAAAACACTGCTAGGAAAATGTGCAGTTTTATGAGTGTTGATTTTAATTGTCTGAATTATTTTTATGTTTTTTTGTGTTGGCCATGGAGGGAGGATGTGGTTTGGGTTTAATGTAACTAGTGGTTGTACTCACAAAGTAAACCTGTTCATGCAGGTGCAGTGACTTGGTGCATTGCTTTGTACATTGGTTGGAAAAGCTTTACTAGGGAGAAGTGACCCACCTGAATTATAAGGATGTAAAACGTTTGGCCATTTCTGCATGTTTTATGTGTAGAATGGACTCTGAAATTCTTAGTATTATTTTTGTGTGGCTTAAAGTAATCACTAAAACTTGATTAAAAAAATGAAACTGAATCCATCAAGTGCTGTGACAGGATTTTGCTCTGTGAAAACACTGATTTATTTCCATTGGGGCATTTGAACCTCAAAACTGAGAGGAGTATTTTACTGTCCTTTGGGCTTTTAACTTTTGTTTTCAACTCTGTTTAACTTCTAGTGTTCATCATGTCCAACATACCTTTGCAAAACAGTCCTTGTTCATCAGCTTGAGACCCAGTACGTGGTGCAGATGTGTTACACTATCTAGGAACTGTAATTGTCTAAATTTTAGGCTGCCTTTTGTTTAATTAAGTAAATAAAAATCCACTTCTGTGATTCTTGTATCTTTGGATTCAGATCAGACCTCACGTGCTGCACAGGCCTCAACTATTCAGCATCCCATGATAAGCAGTGAAAGACACATTTATGACACTTTCAATCAGTGGGTAAGAACAGCTTCTTTTCTCTCCAGTACTTCATCAGTACTTATAACCCTTTTGTCAGACTACTGTGAGAGTTACTCTTGATCTGATATCCTGTGCTGAACTTGTGGGTACTTTTGGATTGAAAAGATTAATTTGCTCTGAGGCAAAGTTACTTTTATGTTTCTAATTATTTTACATGGGATTGCTACTGAAATCATTCCTGCATCTTAAGCTATTGGGTTTTCCCTTGGCCTTGTGAGAATATGCAAAAACTTTAGAACTCTTTTAAATCAGCCAGATACTTTATTGACAGTGTCTGAGTACAGGAACAGACAGACTCATTTTCCACAGCTTGGGAGTTAATTCTAGAAACCTGTGCTGCCAGAGAGCTGAGCACACAGAGCTATTTTGGATTGGTTGTTCATACTTAACAGCAGTGACAATTTTGCAGAAACTTCTGACTTGTAACACTTGTAGCTTATCCAGAATTTTCATGATTTTGAGAACATGTCAAACTCTGTTGGATCACCTGCAAGCTGAGGTGTTTGGTACAGGAGCTGATTCTGAGAGATACAGAGAACTGTTTACATGTGGTCCCCTGAACTGTGGGCAGAGCTTAGCCTGAGGCAGGGGCTGCAGGAGGTCATGCTCTGTACAGTTCTCTAGCTGTGCCTTATCCCTGCAGCTGGGAGAGCAGCTGGCACAGCTGGTTCCTGCCAGTGGAGTCGATGTGGTGGAACTGGAGGATGAAGGCACGTGCGTGCGTTTCAGCCCACTGATGACTTCTGCAGGTAACAGTCACTTACAGGATTGTACACAACAGGCTCCTGGTGGAAAAACAGATGTGCTCAAGAAACTCCTGAGTACATTGTCCTGTGGTGAGGATTTGCTTATACACAAAACAAAGCTATGTCAGCTTTATCTTTCTGCTGCACCTTGGCCCTGGGTGCATTGGCCCTCAGTGCTGGCTGAGCTGTTGCTGGTGGCATTGCCTCACTGCCTCTGCACAGAAAGACTTGCTGGTTATGGTTTGAATTCACTAGGAAAAGCAAGGTGAGCAGCTCTTTGCTTCCAGCAGCTACATTCCTTCTCTCAGGTGCTCAACACAGGATGCCTGCACAGGTGTTCCAGCACTGCAATGGTGTTTGTGTTCCTAGTGCAGCTACTTAACTAGAGAATTATTTACTAAACCTCTTGGGTTTCTGTAACTATTGGGGGATATAGAAATCTGTGTTCTGGTGAGTGTCTTAAATTTCATGTTCAAGCCAGCACTGGGTACTACAGTGTGTAGAACTGCAGGAGCACATTGCAGCTCACAGCATCTCAGGGTGGTGCACGGTGTCTCCTTTAGCTTGTGTAGGTGAGTGGCTTAAGCTAACAGAACACCTGACAGGGTCCTGCTGTACACAGAAAAGGAGATTTTACAACCAAATTACTCGATGGTGCTGTGATGTTTTCTTTTAAACCAGCATGGAAGGTAATTCATGATCAGTTGGGCTGTGGGAAGAGGATTTTTTCTGATGCTGAATACTGATGTAATGAAAAAGGATATTGTAACATATCCTTACTAGTTTGTAATGTGAGAAAATCCTTTTCATTAGCTTTTGATAAAATCCTTTTCATTTTGATGTATCAGTGGATAGATAACTGAAGGGGGAAAAATGATATAGGTCAAGGTATTCAATACTATTTGTAAATTATGTTTTAGATTGACTTGCAGAGCAGCTTCTGCACAGATTACTTCAGACATCTGTGTGATGTCCACTCACATTCACCACACACTAACACATCTGCTCTTCAGTCTTAGGAACTGAGATACAAGACATCGATCAGTTAGTAGACTGCTTGAAAATGAAGATCCCAGTATTGACAAGTACACTGCAGCTGAGAGAGGAATTTGAGCAAGAAGTGAGAAGAACAGTTGGCCTGTTGTATATTGAGGATCTTGGCTGGCCCGGGCTAGGTGTTGTAAGGTAAATTGTTCAGTATTTTCTTCATTCCATATTTGGATAGACTGTGCTATAGCAGACAGGACTATGTGGTCTCTTTGGTGGTGATTTGCTGTATTGTTGGCTGCTAAAGAGCTGTTTGGCAAGCTTAGGGCACCTGTTGTAATACTGGAGGCAGCATGTGGCTCTGCTAGAGGATGTGATGTGCATCTCACTGTATTTAGCTGAGTGTAACTCACATTTTTATCTATAATGGCATTCACTGATGTGCTGAACAGCACTGAAAAACCCTTCAAGTACCTGTTCTGATCCTCTGGGAAGGATTCTGTACAGTCAAAACAGTTCAAATATAATTTTGCACTGCCTGGAAATCTGTTGTGTTCAGTTTGCAGCAGCAAGCTCACCCCTCCTCACAATCTCCAACTGCAAATGCCAACGAACTTGCTGATCTGAGCTGGAATGTTCTGGGATTTTTCATTCATAAAATACAGGGTTTTGTAGACACATGCTACATGTGTAGGTATTTTGGTATGTACTGTAAAGTGAAATGACTTTCTCTTGGCTTGATTTGAAGGTACAACTACCACAGTGATGGGAAGAAGGATGACAAACAAGAAAAGGAACTAGAAAAAATCAATATAGAACTTCTGAAAAAGTTAAACGAACTGGAGTCAGATCTCACCTTTTCTTTGGGTAACTGCACTATTTCAAAAACTTACGTTCAAGCTAAGAGTCATTCTGCTAACTGTGTTAGAATGGCTTGATAGGTCGTTACGATGCACAATTAGCTGCTGCCTGTGTGGTTATTGCAGAAAGAACATCTGTAACTGTTTCCTTCTCCCCCAGTTTCAGATGGGAAGTGTTCACCAGGTGAGCAAGGTACACTGTTCCCAGAAATACTAGTGGACTTAGGGACAACTATACCAAGAAGAGTTTCCTTGTCAGGAAGAGTAAAAGTTTCTGTGTTCTCAATGTAAACTGAGCCATCTCAGGTAGTGCTGGATCTAGTGAAAAGCAGATGTCATTCCAAACCCACTGGCACTGACTGTTTCACTGCTTTCTCTGCCTAGATTGAAAGCTTCAGATGACTCTTGTGATAATTAGCAGCACTTTCACATTTACACATTGCCATGTGACAGCTGAAAGAGTATTAATTTGCTTACTCAGAACTCTGATCTTTTTCTAATGAGCTGTCAAAAATTAAGCACCCTACAGTTGTGGCACCAAGGAAGAGGCAGAAAGTTAAGGAGTTTGAAGCATATTCAACACTGATATTTATTATACAACTCCTTGACTGTATAAAGCAGCTGCTGTTTCTCTTGTTCAGATGTTTTCTGTTTTTGAAACCCCCCAGGGCTGAACTTCTAGTCTGCATAATTTATACCCATGCAGATACTGCCCTCAGGTACTGAAGGGGGTGTGTGTGTGTGTTAGGATTTTAGGATTCACAAACACAAGTGTTGCAGCCATTGAGATTGCATGTTTGTACCTCACAAAGACTTGATTCTCCCTGTGCTCACAGGTCCAGAGTTTGGAGGGCAGAAGAACTGTGTTTACATTGGAATGGCCACAGAGGATCTGGATGTGTCAGAGTTAGTTGAAACTATTGCAGCAACTGGCAGAGAAATTGAAGAAAATTCAAGAGTATGTATTAATAAGTCACAAAGCATTCCAGAACCTTTTTTCTTCCCCTTTCAGATTGGCTTCAGGACATGGTTTTGTTCTTTGTGAAAGTTAAAATTGTACTTGCTCACAACAAACTGTCTTAAGCACTGTGGAAGGAGTAATCTGTGTCTACATACAGAGAATCTTTTGTTACAGGATTATGATATTCTGAGGATCTTTGGATTTGTGTTTGTGGTCCTGTGTGCAGTGGTTCTAGTGAAAAACTTTAGTAGTACTGAAACATGCTCATTTTATCACTCAGATTCTAAGCTGTCAGAAAACAAAAGTGGAGCTGGGGGTTAATTGTGAGCTGGTGTTTCACTGCAGTATGTGGTGGGATTGATTTATATACCAGCTTTAAGACTGTGCCCTAAAATGTGTGAAAAACTTGAAATTGGTGGCTGAAAACCAGAAATTACAAATTAGCTATTGAAGTAATAAAACTGATGATGCAACTTGTATGTGTCACAGAATTTACCTGAGTAGAGTTCTCCAAATGTTCTCTAAAGTAGGAGTCCTAATGAACATCTGTCCCTTCATTCCTCTAGCGTTGGGCATTTAATTTCCTCACCTTAAATATAAACAGAACTTGAGAAATCCTTTGCTTATTTCTGCCCATGGGAATATGTTGATTTTGGCAATGGATTTTTTTCCAGCAGTGTTTTCTGAAGACTTCCTGCCTACTCTTGACTCCCTGTGCTGGCTTGGGGGTGACATGAAGTATGCTTTGCCTGTAGAGTACCTTTGGGTTCTTAGCTGTTGAAGTTAAGAGGTTATGTTGGAATGTGGGTCACTTGGATCCTGAAGGTTCTAGGGAGGAACAAAGAGTAGTGGAGGACTTGGAAAGGTGCAGCCCTTGGAACCAGCTACAGTAAATTTGTGGTACTGAAAGGATCTTAGACTGTTTGATCCCACACTGAGCAGCAGACCCCACCTGTGGGAGTGTTACTGGCATTGCCTAGGTGAGGGTGGTTGGTACAAGGGGAAGCTTTTAGAAAATCCCTACATCAGTCCCAGCACACCCTGAGGACAGACAGTAAATACACCAAAAGGCAGAACCAAAACCGAAGACAAACATCTTGACTGGCCCAGAAACAAAGGTTGCTGGGGGTCAGCTCCTGGCTGGCCTCTCCCCCAGGGAAAAGGAGCAGCTTCCTCTTTTTCCTCTTCCTAACTGACAGTAACACACATTTTGGAGGAAGTGCCTGTCATCTTGACCTTGTGCAATATTAAACCCATGTTAATATATGGAAACTGACATTTGCCTTGCACAAACAAAATAGCGACCTTGTTATTTGACTTGTTGGGTTTGTTCATTCCTGGCCCCTGCAGCTCTCCCAGCGAGTACAGAACACAGCTGGTGCAGGCCTGGATGGCTCAGGGATCAGAGGGGCAGTGGGCTGCAGTTAGAGAAACGAAGTGAACCTAGGCTGACACATCTTGCTAGGCTTACTGTGAGGCTGGTGTAAGTCCTGGGTGCTTCTAAAAATCAACATGTACTCTGTAAACCTAAAAATGCTTCCCATTCATCTGAGGAACACTTATGTGCTAACCAGGTCTTCGAAAAATTTGTGTCACAGGCTCATTTCTAAGTGTAAAAAACCCCAAACTAGCCAAGTACCATTCCTGTTTAAAATTCCATTCTCTTCTCTGGGCTTCTCTTCTAAAAATCCTGCAGTCAGCTGTGCATTGTTTAATTTAAAGTCCTAATGAAATAGAGCTTGTCAAATACTGTCTCAAATCAGAAAACTATCTGACTGTCCTGTCTACTTCCTGAAAACCTGAACTAAAAAGCCAATTTCAAGTCCAAATAATATGTATGATTATTTCTGGGTTTTATTAGCTGTTGGAAAACATGACTGAAGTTGTTAGAAAAGGGATACAGGAAGCACAGCTTCAGCTTCAGAAAGCAAATGAAGAAAGACTTCTGGAAGAGGTAAGGCTATAACATCAGCTCTCTGGTACTAGAGGTAACTTTTCATGCTCTGGGGCACTTGTCACCAGTGCTGGGTTGTGCCTTGCAGGGGCTGCTGCGACAGATACCTGTGGTGGGCTCTGTGCTGAACTGGTTTTCTCCCTTCCAAGCCTCATCAAAGGGAAGGACATTCAATTTAACAGCAGGTAGGGCTCTCTGCACTGCAGCCTCGTTCCACAGTCCTTAGCACTGTTTCCAGTGTCACACTGAACTTGCAGCACACGTTCCTATGCTGGTTTGATCATGAGTGACATAATCCACCCCCGGGATGTACCAGCACATGCTCTGCACTATTTCTGTAACACCCAGGAAGTATCTTCTGCTCTCATACAGTTCACATTTTGTTCTTGCATGTTGGGTCACATTTAGAAAAGCTGTGATAGACATTGGCATTAATAGAGGAACAGTTTCTGTGACTTTTGGCTGCATATGCTGCAGGAGTTGGGGATTTATAGATACTTGAGCTGGCAGGGTAGCTCAGCCTGAACACGTTGCTCCCCATGTGAGTGCATGTGCATCCTCTGGAGTGAACTTGCAGAGTGGCACTTGTGTTCCAGTGTGCCACTGGAACAGGATGTCTGTCTGGAATCTTGGTTTGGGCTCTCCCCTGGCTCTGGCCACGCTGGGAAGTTCTGCACTGTGTGCTAAACAGTGCCATGTCCAACAAGGACAGGCTGAAGCCAGCTGGGACTGGCATGAACCAGGCTGTGTGGGAGATGGTAGTGAATAGTACAGTGTGAAAGACTATTACTTTACTCATACATTTGCAGTTTGTGTCTGGTGATGTGGAAAGAACTGCATATAGCTTTTACATCATGAAGACTGATGTACCAACACAATAATTCCTGAAATTATAATTTTTTACTTGTACAAATATTGTGGCAGAGTCTAAGAGTGAATATTCCTGAACTCAGCAGTGTCTGTCACACCTAGAACAGTGGCCCAGCTGTCCATCTGCCCGTAACCTGTGAGGGAGCCTTGCTGATTGTGGGTGCAGCAGCTGACAGGTTCCCTTGGGATACCCCATCCACGTGCACTGCTCCATAGCTTGCAGCTGGGAGGGTCTCAGGTGCCCAGTGGAGAAAGGAGGAGGGACTGTGGGGTGTTAGCAGTGTTGTGACATGAGTGTGAGGGGAGACTTTTGCATCTTTGAAGTCTTTGCACTCGTGTCCCAGGTACTCAGAGATGCATCACCCTCACATGGCAACTCAACCTAGCATGTGCAGTTACAGAAATGTGTATTCACAGTAAGACTGTTACATACATTATAAATATAAAGAGAGAACTCATCCAGCTTGGGCTATTTTCAGTTTGATTTTTTTTTTTTTTCTAACCTGCAGGTTCTCTAGAATCCACAGAATCAACTTATGTCTCAAAGGCCCAAGGAACAGGCACTACTCCACCACCAACTCCCACTTCCAGCCTTGCAAAGCAAAGGCTTCCTGGTAAGTTTGTCTCTTAGTTTAAGTTCTAAAACTTGCTAAAACGTCCTGACACAGGATGATCCACATGATTTTCCACCTTTCATAATATCTGGAACTGGAGCTCACCTTCTACTGCCTTAAAAACCTTAATGTACCTGTGACACAGAACACCACCCCAACCTGTTTTCTCCCCACAAACTCTCCCTGGGACTATAGGAAGTTGTTATCCCATTAACTGACAACTGCCCCTGAAGCCTGGAATCCTTCTCTGGAATATTATGAGGCTATTTGGGCTTTAAAAATTAGCAGCTAAACAAGCCAAAAGTTTTATTTGAAATAAAAGTATGACATATAATCATGTAGTTCAGCATTTCTGTTGTTACCAATTATTTTGTGGCCAAAGCCATTCAGAGGTGAATCTTAGAATCATAGAATCAATTGGGTTGGAAGAGACCTCCAAGATCAAGTCCAACCCTACCCTGGTTACTATATCATGGCACCAAGTGCCACATCCAGCCTCAGTTTTACCAGTCTCTGCATACACAGGATACAATGACAAGTGCTGCTCCATTGCAGTCCTGTCTGTAACTGCAAGGGGGTGGGTCTGTCTCCAGGGTACAACACAGCACCCAAACAACACCTACTCCTTTGCAGTTACAACATTCCAATACTGCTTCGAAACTGAACTTGTGCACACCACAGGTTTCTGTTTGCTGCCTTCACGGGTACTGTTTGCTTCAAACTCTTCACAGGTCAGAAGGCTTTTAAAAGGTCTCTAAGAAGCTCTGATGGGTTCAGCGAGACCAGTTCAGTGAGCCACTGTGATGACCTGGAGAAGGTGGATCAGAGACCTCCAACTCTCTCCCCCAGCCAAGAGCAGAGACCTCTGGAGACAGAAAAAGCAGAGGAGCAGAAGGAGGTGGTGCAGGCAAAGACAGACACTGAGGACACTCACAGTGACAAATCACCACCTGACTGTGCCAAGGCAGAGGAAGAAGAAAGTCAAAGATAAGATCCAGTGTGGGTCGTGGACTGTGCCCGTGCCTGGGCAGGCAGGGCTTAACATGCATTTAAAATGTGAACAGTGCCACACACTAGTACAGTAATAACTACTGTAACTTATTAACTGGAATTTTGCACAAATATAAATTCCCTCCCCTGGGACAGAGATTTGTCTTCTTGTACACTTGTTACAGTCGCTTTAATCCTCTACATGTCAGTGTCACCAAAGCAGTAGTGAAATTTATTAAGTGCTCATAAACATTTGTGAGAACAGTTGGCAGTTCTCCTTCCTGCAGGAATCCATGCATGACAACAGCTGCTAACTAACCAATCAGCCATGCACAAGATGAAAAAATACAGCTGCACCCAATACTTATAAAATGATCTTACCTTACTACCCATTATAAACAACTGCCAGTGGTTCACCTTTTTAGGATTTAAACTTCAGTTTAGCCTCTCCTGCAGACCTCTCCTGAAGTCACACTAGCTCTGTCTTGCTTTCTGTTACCTTAGCCAGCACCTTGCCAAGAGCTGTGGTGCAGTGGGCATGGGGAGGGACAGGTGCCTGTGTGCACAGGAGTCACTGAGCAGGACTTGCCCATCAACCCTTTCTTCCTGTTCTGGTAGGAGCTGACCCATCCAGCCAAGGCCCTGGGTGTACAGTGGGGACTAAGGTAATGAGTTTTGAGCCTTTTAGAAAGACATAGTGCCTCTGCATGCCTGACCAGCTTCCTGCTCCCACCCCTAGGAAGGATCACAAGGCTCCGTAACTTTCCTTTGCACGGCATTTACACACCAAATACGCTCGAACACCTTTATGTAGTGTAACTGGAGATCTTTCTGTTGTGTATTTTTAAAGATAGTGGTAGTAAAGCTTGAAAAACCAATACATTTGTGAGGTTTCAACACTTATTTTTGGAATAACAGTAACTTACCTATGGTAGGAATTGTACAGACTCAAAAGAAATTATTTAGGTTACTTACAGAACTGTACAACTTCAGAGTGTCTGGGACTACTTAATGCACAAGCAAAGCCTTGGATAAATCAAAACCCAAGGTGTAAAAGTGTTTTTCCCCAAATCATCCTAATCACTTTGCTGCAAAGTTTCAGAGCCTCTTGTGGAAAGGAGATCTATGGCAACACCTGTTTTCCCCAAGGTATCTGATTTTGATGCAAACCATCCCATTCCTGGAGAGCTGGATAAAGGTACAGCAGTTTGCTCCATTTGGGATTTCTCCTCCCCCTGGCAGGATCCATTAACACCATGATGGCTGTAGTGGTAGTGGGACTTACTTTGATCAGCTGCAAAATGTGGGGTTTTTGAATTGTGCTGTCACCTGACTCTCAGCTCTCAGCCTGCAGTGCTGGAATGCCATGAACAAGGTTAATTTTGGTGTTGGGGTAATTTATGTAAATCAGTGCAATTTTTCTAAAGTGCAAAACCAATTAAGTTGACTAGTCTTCCTCGGTTTTTTGGTGCAATGAAGTATGTTAATAAGAGTAATTTGTGGGGGGGGATAAAGTTATCACCACAAGGATTAATTTTTAATGTTTTTATATTTGGAGGTGTTAAATCAGTAGTTTTGTTGGAATGAGCTTCATTCTTTAGATACTATCTGAATGTTTCAATAAAGAGTCTTCAAATTATTACTCTGGAATTAAGTTCTTGTTGAAGGACACATCCCTACGTTTCAGCAAGCTCTGTTTGTGCAATTTTGTCTGCAAAATCCTTTTCTGAAGTGCAGAGTAGTGACTCACCTTCTCAGGCTCCAGCACTGTCACCTCTCTTGACCTATGCCCATCAAGTTGCTGCACTGGACCAACAGAATCTAACAAACTCCTACTTCAAAGAACCCCTGATTGCTACGTAAGTAATGAAGAAAAGCAAGTTACTTCTGTCAAAATATTTTATTTTGAAAAGCACAGAATAATGAGATTTGTGACCAGCAGTATGCTCTTTGCAACAAATTGCTCTTATTGCAAGACTGTACTTCCCTAAAGCAGTTGTGGTGATTGGTTCCAGGTTAGATCTTGTCAGAACAAACCTTCTCCCACAACCCTTCTTCATTTTTCCTATAGATACGAGGCTTCCTGTCGGGGAACAGCGACCGGGAGGGAAAGGGATGTTGTTTCAAAAATGTCAATGTAGATCTGATGTGGGAGACAAAGTGGGGTGGCTCAGCCAGGGGGGATGTGGAAAGGTTCTGAAAAAGATGGGAGCAAGAGCTGCTTGGCATTCAGAATACAATGGTCTCAATTATCCTGCCTTTCAATACAGTTATTCCCCACCCTCCCGGGGACAGCAGTGACTGGGAAAAGTTTTGACACACTACATCCCCCTCTTCCTACTCAGCTAGAAGGAAAAAAAGTCCATTTCAGGTACCTGCAGAATCTGTGCATCATCTTGTTCCAACCAGAAATCCACGTGTGGGAAAGGCCCCCAGGAATAAGGCCCAATATGGAGTTGTTCTGTCTTTGCATCGTAGATATTGGTGAGCTGTACGAACACAAGGAGTCACACAGTGCTCACAGACAGAGACCAAATTCCCTTAGTCTGATGGCTTCTGTCTCAGCCAGCCTGGGGCCCAGCTCTGCCCTGCTGCCTTCTGCTGCACTGGCTGTTCTGACAAACACAACATGAAATGGTAACACCATACCCAGAACCCAAGACACTGCTGGCTGTGCCCTGACCCAACTCCCCTCACGTAAGTTATCACTCCAAAGGCAGCAGGAACAGTCCCACCAGCAGCCCAGGGCTGGGCTCTGAGACGGGTTAGTCACCTTTGCAAAAGGGGTTTGATCTGTGTCTTCCCCTTTGCCACTGCTCTGCATCTTTCCCATTTGTTTTGTTACTGAGAGCACAACCAAAGTATTTTTTCATCAGACTTTGGCTATTTGTTTGCCCCTAACTGGTCTCCCCTCCCAGCAAAAATACCCTTTTCCTCCTGTTACTTTTACTCACTGCTGCTCCTGTTAAAATGTGGGCTGAGCGCAAGTCCTCATCTGGCCCTTTTTCTGGGAAGGTTGCAGGGAAAATCTCTGCTGTTTTAACATTCACAGCTGGAAGGAAATAGAGATTAAATACAGAAACAATTAATTCTTACAAGGCATTTGTTTACAATGTCCCCAACACAACTGTGCTGCAGAACTCCAGGGCCCAGCACACACTGATGTGTTTCTCAGACCTGAGCCTGGCAGCAGAGTTGTACTTCATTTGCTTTGGCAGCGTTTCAGTATTCCAGAAATACTTGAACTAATTAGAAAACACACAGAATAATCAGGGAAAAGAAGGCAGAATTCTAAGCACAGAGGTTAGTGCAGGAGCTTGATATGCATAAAATCCTAAGTGTGGTTAAAGGAAAAAAAATCTGCATGCATTTGTACCCAGCCCCTGCAAATGTGTGCATCTCCCAAGCTGTGGTACCAGAGGAAAAGGATTTCTCCCTACACCTCTGACAGCAGCTCAGAATTTCTAAGTGGACTTGACCCAGGCATTCAAAGCAGCTCATTTACCACTGGAGTCTGGACAGCAATCCAGCTGCAAAAAATAATTCAATTCTAATTTAACTCACCTATTCCATAAATTATTGGAAAGTGAATATCTTGTTCTTCTCTGTCATTTAGTTCTGTAAGGAAAAAAAAGAAGTCAACCTCACAGAGCTTTGGATAGTTTGCTGAGCAGCATCCATTTAGCTGTATGTCATTGGAGAACAACATGAAAACAGAAAAACAAGGATGCCTAAAAGAAATATGGAGATGGTGGTACAGGTCAGTAAGAACACACCTGGGGCCTGGAGCAGAGCTGTCTCTTACAGAACATCTGGCTCCAGCCAACAAACCCTCCACTGCTGCAGGGAGAACATACAGGGAAAAACCACATGCAAAACAACCATGATACCAAGCTCAAAGATGCAAGTCACCACCAGCACTGACATGGAAAGAGGATGGAAATGTGACCTCAGTGTGATACAAAGAAAAGGAAATTACTTCCTCTATGTGGCATCACTTATGAACTAACTGAAGTTTCTGAACTCATTGGGCCCTGCAGGGAGGCAGGTCCAACAGGACAAAGGTCTGTGTGTGCCCTTCTCAACTGCCTCGTGAGATATCCACAGGTAAAGAGCCTGTTCCACAGGACAAACGTGCCAAAATAACCTGGTCATGACCACGAGTGGTTCTACTGTTGGCTGAGGGCAGCAGCACTCGGGAAGGAGACTCCTCTCTGCACTGTCTCCCTGACATCCCCACACACCCACCAGCAATGACACTAAGAATCACAAATCATTACAGAGGACTTGTGCTGTTCTTTTTCACAGGACAGAGAGAAAAACCATGTGTGAAGAGACCCCTGTCCTTGGATTTCAGTAGCTAAAGGTGCTTCCAAACCAAGGAACCATCTCCTTACCTGTAACGCAGAAGGTCACTAGATGAACATCATCTGGCTGGAGATCGAACGCTCCTAGGGGACAAGGACAGCACAGTGTGTGAGTGGCTGGTGGCAGGGCAGGTGCTGTTGGGCTGAGGGGCAATGCAGTGCTGAGCACTGTGGGCACAGACCTAACCACTGCTGCTGGCTAAGGCAGCACAGCAAACAGCCCTTTGCACATTTGCTTCAGAGTCATTACAGAGAGGAGCCGATAGTAATAGCAAAAATGTGCTACAAAAGTGTTGTGCCACTTACTCCATTTACTGGCACTGGTTTAGCTCTGGCATCACATCAGCTCTGCTTTAGCTCACTAGGCATTTAGTTACATATATAGTGACCAAATCCAGTTCTTCATTAGGTGCAAATTAATTCTGCCTTTCACCATCACAAACACCAAAATAAAACCCTCTTTTTTCTGAAGCTTTGATAACAATACAGAATTATTGATTCAAATTTGATGCATGACAATCAGAAGGTTGAAAGAACTGAATTAACCAAAATACTTTAGTCTGTACAGAACTCTGATATGACATGTAACACAGATCAGGTGTAACAGCCACGAGGCTGCAGCCCAGGGCATTTGCTGGTTGTGTTTTGCTTTTTATTTACCCCCTCAGCCGCCTCCCTCCAATCCTGACACCTGCCCCATTCCATGGGGCTGAGGCCTCTCCACACAACGAAGTACTTAAGAGTTTAGCAAGTACTTTAAGTTTCCAATCCCTCCGTAAAGCACTGCCATCACCTCTGGACTATGGATTTCACAAAAAACCCTGACACTTTTTCACCAGATTTCATCAGATCCAAGCAATGATTAAATTTTGCCTCGTCACATT